CACTGTCCGGAACGTCTCCTGTTATCATACATGACCCATTTTTCATCACAGGTGACAATTCGGTCCAAAAACAGGTCGTTTCTGCTGCGCAAAAGCAATGCAGAAGGAACCTCGAGACGTGCCGATTCCTGCCGGTCACTCCGATTGTGGGGCACGCAATTGTCGAGTTTTTTCACCTTCCCAATGCGTTCCAGACCATCAGCAACAGTGGATTTGCCAAGCCTAGCTTTTCTGCAATCTCTCGAACTGTTTGGGATGGGTCAGCCTCCACAAACGCCTTCAAATCCTCGTCAGGTATTGCCTTAGGTCGACCGCTACGAGGTTCACCTTCAAGGCTGAAATCTCCAGAACGAAATTTGTCGAATCATTGTCGCACGGTGCTTTCTCCAACACTATTGGGCCCCCACGCCTGGTTAATTTGTTGAGCTGTTTCGATTGCGGATTGCCACAATTTAAAGTCGAAGAAAAAATCGTCCGAAGTTGCTCTTTTCACATGCTTGAAAAGAAACCTTTAAAAAAGGGGGTTCATCAAGCAATGGTGGAACGGCAGTTATACCATCAAATAGCGCAAAGAATTCTCTTCAGGATGTACTACTGAGAGCAAGGGAGAGTTTTTAATCAGCAATGAATGAGCAAAAAATAAACACAAAACCTGCAGAACTTCCCGGACAACCTAATACATCAGTTGGCCCAGCAGTTCATTGCACTGGTCATCACATTCACATCCTTCTACGATTCTAAGTGTAAGTGGGATGGGCGTCGCGTTCCCAAAGGTGATTCCTCAAGCGTGAGAGCTTTATTCTTCGACCTTTTTTGATGCAGTAAAGTTTCGCACCGTTCTGTCACCTGTCACAAACCGGTTTTTTTCAAGGCATGGGACAAGACAATCGCGATATTCCGCGATGGTGGGAGTGGCGAACGATGCCGCGCTGGCCAGACGAGTTGGCTATGGATTCTTCTGTCCACTTGAATCCATGCGAGTTTCCCTGCTCCAGTCGACCGAATGATTGGCATTGCTTTCGCCGCGCATCCCTGCTTGATGCGCTGGGCGCTATGACGCGGTGATTGCGATTGTCTTGTCCATGTTCCATTTTTCGGCGTGCCCAGCGACATGGTAGGTGGTTATGAATCAGTCTCACCTGGCATATCAAACGAGGAGCCAGGCTTGTCTCAGAGTACTTTTCGGCCTTCCACTTCTCATTGCGCTCCACAGTCATTTGCTCTTACCAGTGCTTCACAAGCTTCGAAAATCGTGCACAGTTACCAAGCTAGCAAAGCGCCATTCCGTGATATCCCTCACCATTCAATCCCTAACACGACTTTTAATCTATCATTCTGTTCTTTGGGCAATCTTAGGCTTGCTTGTCCAGAGAATGCAGAATTTCAATGGGATCTGCCAAAGTCAATGTACGCGATCTTGGCTTGTTTCAAATTTTTGCCACTGTAGGTTCTGCAAAACGGTTTGTTATTACGAGTATCTGATCTGTTGTTCGTTCATGTAAATGCGGAGGCTGTCGGTTAGAGTTGATTTTTCGATGTGTACGCCGCTTCTGGGAGCTCTGTCATAGGGGCGCTCTGGAAATAGCAGGGCATGGTATTTTAGACGTG